AAGTGCCGATTCTGTGCACCGAAAACTGCTCTAAGACCGCGCCAGGCCTTACAGCTTTAACCCTTGCATCCCCTGACCAGAGTAAGAGTGATGAGGTTCTTCACGCAGTTCTTTCAACGGCCCTGGGCTTGGCTCATGCAATATGTGCTAAGTGCCACTTCCGGAAACGCATTGTCCCATGTCGCTTGAATTCCTGTAGAGAGTACACCAGGCTTCGAGTGTGAGAGAGAGAGAGAGAGCGAGCGAGAGCTTCACCATCTAGCCCACAAAGCAAACGGATGCTCACACATGTGTTGTAGCCACCCAACGGTACTTACCGAAGCCATGCCAGGAAGCCGTTGCAGAGCTCAGATGCTGAACCGAGGTGTAGCTCTCTGCAAAGTCATGGGGGTGTGTTCGAGGGGCAAGAGAGGTCCTTTAAGATTTAAAGCCCTCACCTCCCTCGAGGCCATCACTGTTTCCGGCATCCCCTTCTCCTTGGTGGACCTTGGTGCTGCATGGGTCTACGGCTTCTGGGTTGCTATGGGCACCTTGGTCTTACGTGTGTTAGGATTCTCAGGAGTCCAGCTTCGGGCATTGCTTGTGTGCGAGTGCGCCACTCGAAGCCCTAGAGCCTGCATGGGAGGACTTTAGGTTGCTTCAGGTGGGATCTCGGGACCGTGGGCGTATCAGAGCATCTGCAAGACTGTTCTTGGTTACAGCTCTTGGGGCATCTGGGGCGTTTGAGCTTCAAGGCCAATCGGCGCTCTTAGGGGCTCCATTGGCCATGTGTTTGTTTGCTTCACTTCCTGGAAGATGCTTTTGTCAGGTATGCTGCTGTTTGCCAAGACGCCTCCCAGCTCGCAAGCCAGCCAGATCTCATGTCATCGAATGCACATGCTGCGGATTGCTACGGTTTCTTGCCTTGCCACGCTTGCGGGCTTACGGTGTGATTGGTGTGAGACCCCAAGACTCCAGCGCACGTAGTCCGACACGCTCACACAGGCTGGGAAGCATCCTGTGTTACGTTGTGGCGAGAAGTGTGCTGCCAGCTGCTCGCGCCTGCGCTTGCAAGGATGGTAGCACTGTTGCCAGACTGAAGCAGTGAGGACTGTGAGGACACCCTCCTTTTGTTGCAGTCCAACAGCTTCCTATAGACTTTGGGGAGGGGGGAGCGCATTCTGCTGCCTTCTCGCTGAAGCGTTGACGTCGCAGCACGCAAAGTAGCACGAAGCAACACCAATATTTGAGGGGCAACCTGTTCAGTTTGGCTCATGCAGCTTGAGGTTGGAGGCATTAGGCAATCCGGTAGCTCGTTGCATGCATGGCCAGAACACACCAGTCGTGCGAAACTTTTTTGTAAACAGCCAGTCCCAAGCTCTCTTCCAACAGACGGTGCGCTCAATTCTCCATGTTTTGCGGGGAAGTGACCCCTCTTGCAGTTCTTTGTCATCCCAGGTAAAGCCAGCGTTCTTTCTCATCCGACTGTTGCTCGCGTCGACCGAATACTGGCCAGCAGTCCAATCTACTACGGGAAACCTGGCATCATGAGTCATGAGCTTCGGGGACCTGTTTCTGGAAGTACGGCAAGGATCATTGAGCCTTTTCAGGATATACAGGTGGAGCGGGGGTTGGAGGGTTTGTTGTGGTGAACTTCCGGACAGCTGATCGAGCCTCTTTCCTGGCCCTCACAGTATCCTGGTTCCACGACATGGCAAAAAGTTTTGGTTCGTGCTCGTGTGCCAACTGGAAGCCGCAAACTCCATCATTTTACACGGCTCTTGCCGTGGTAGGCCTCCTAGATCGGAGCCCCGGCTGATTGGGGTAGAAGGGCTCCAATATTCCAGAATGTTAGTTTTTGGAGATTGGAGACATGTTCGACGAGACGGCCCACTCCCAGACTCATGTAGCCATGATCCATGCGGGTAGGACACTCTTCCGGCTGGCATTGCTTCCTGCGTTCGTGTCTCTTGGCAGTGAACCGGTGTTCGGAGTGGGCTGCACCTTGTAGTGCAAGCGTCCCAGGTGTTTAGAAGTTAGAATGTTCTGAAATCTGCGACTGCTACAGGTGTCAACCATAGCTCAAAGCACCAAGGTTTTTGTTCGAGGCTATACTGAGATGTGCTGAGGGCCATCTGCAAACCCACAAGGTGGATGTTCGGAAGCGGGTTTTCAGGGTGCTTAGCGATATGGACCCCAGCCGAGTGAAGCCCCTAACTCCCAACCCTTACAGCATCCTTCAAATCATATGAAATCCCGTCCAAGAAGGCCTAAAAATCGCAACAGAAGGGCTAACACCCACGCTGTTCGGAGGAAAAACTATGGCCTGGCCTTGTTGAACATCAGGTGCGTTTGCTGGCATGCTGTCATGGTCAACTTGAGACACGTGTAGAGTAGAACAACGGGCTTAGGTAAGGGTCCGCACTTTGGCTTGATCTTACTGCAGGGTGATGTGTGTTGGTCGTTTGTTGTCGGGACTGGTGGCTGCAGGCTTTTTCACGTCCTGCACACACTTAGTGGACTGAGCACTGCATAGGTTGAGCTGCAGCTGTTTCTCGACAGGTGGATCGGTTGGATAGGGGCCGGAATGATTCCTTCCCAACCTGCCCACTTTGCCAGGTTTCCTCACTATCTCACGTGCTGCTCGCCTGCAGGATTGAAGTTTTATGCTCTGGCTTTAGATGCAGCGAAGGGGAGATGATGAAGGAAGCTCAAAGCCTCAGGCAACAGCGGGTGGCTGGAGCAGATGCTGTGGACCAGTAAGCCTTGAGAATCCTGAGCAGTACATTTCCAGCTTTGTGTGGTATCTGGATTCAAAGGTTGGGCTAAACATGTGCCCAGTCCAGAAGACCAAGGACGGCAGACCTTGAGGGGAGTGGCTTCACAAGAGAGTCTTCCGATGCCATTGTCGCTAGTGAAGCAACCGTTATTGAGTGCTGCAAAGGCAAAACCATGCAAAACCCCATCACCCTATAGCATCCTTCCGCAAGGAACGAAAACTCTGCATAAACTCCGCCGAGGCTGCCTGCTGGGTTCCTGCTTTGGCGTCCCTGCGCAGGCATACCTGGGCGCGCAGCTACTTCGCTGGCATAGGTTCGGGAAGTGCAGGGGGTCCTTGCCACGACGGCCTTGTCTGGCTTGGAGCCTGCCGTCAATACAAAACCCAATCCCTGCGGCCGACGTTTGACTGATGGGCCTGTGGGCTGCACAGGGCATGGGGGCCTTGTCTGCTTGACCCAAGAAACTATGGCTGAAGCAAGCTTCACGTTCAGCGGATCCTTCAGATCGGGTCTGGAAGTAGATGGAAGTCGTTGCAATTTGTCCTTCTACGGGCACATGGTATGGAGGCCCTGAGCTCTTTTTCGGTGCTCAAGCTCCCTGAGCTGTAGGCTCGGTGATATCTACCTTGGCCTCCGTGAAGCGGACACGGTCGACCCGGCGGTTCTTCTAGGAAGTGACTACCTCAGGAGTGATCCGGTGCAGTGGTACGGGGGCGTCCAGTTGCGGGCTTGAAGAGGCTATTGCAGCGTCTTGGCAGGGTTAGGTTGTTGGCCCGACGGACTTCAAAAGACCCGGATGCAACCAAGTTCTCAGACCACAGGCAGAGACAGCTTCAGAAGCGGCTTGAGGCACAGAGTTCGTGGTTAGGGGAAGGATTGATATCTAATTCCAACGCAGGAATTCTATGCTCTCTAAGCTTGTGTAAGCCTTGAAGACTGAACACCCAAACTTTCAACATCTTTCAACCCTCACAAGCATGAAAACAATGCCCATGTCATGGCCTCCCCGCGTTTCCTCGAATGCTTTTCAGATCTCCTTGGCGTTCCTCAGGTATTGCTCCCATCCTCTTCTTGGTGATTTTGATGCCGACGATGGCTAAAGTCCTACTTGGCCACTGGGCTCAAGGATCTTGGGTGTTGGGCTTTGGGTCTTCAAGCTATCAATTCCGAACTAGCGCCAAGGGGTACAGTTGCTGGAAAGGGTTGCGACCCGACACCCAACTTCAGGAACCCTAAGGCCAGCAACCTCTTGGGACCAGCCCGAGAACCAAGGAACAGATGAGGAGCCCAAAGAAAACGCGGAGGTCAAGAAGACGGATTGACGCATGCTAGGCTTAGCTACCGTCCGCTGCTCGCTGCAGACTGGGTTGGTTAGGTCATAGTTTGCCAAAAGAGTGCTTTGAAATGCTTTGCACTTGGGAATCCTCGGTGGGGTTGAGGTGAGGTTGACAGGCACTTTTGCTTAAATTCTTCAGCGGTGATGCTGGAAAGTTGAGTACTTCGTCCAAGCAGCAGCGGATTGTTTGGAACCCAGCTCTGCTGAGGAGCCGCAGTGGGCACTCCTAGGGATGAGCCCATTTGAGCCTTCTGCTCTCTCTCTCTCTCTCTCTCTCTCTCTCTCTCTCTCCCGATCTCCCTATCTCACGCTCTCTCCCTCTTTCCCTCTTTCCCTCTCTCCCTCTCTCTCCCTCGCTCTCTCTGCTATCAGATGGGGTCACCAGGGCGCTCTGAGAGCTGTTTCAATGGCTCCATTTCAGGAGAAAGTGAAAACGTGCGTCGAATGCAGCGACCATTTGCAGGTCGCAGTTGGTCAGCTTCACGCTGCCGCTACCGTGCTAACACTACCCATGCAGAACTGCTCTGTCAACAAGCTTCATCATGAAGGGTGCAGGAAGTCGGTTCTGGTGCTGCTGCCGCGAAGGTCCTAAGGTTGTGGTTGCCGCACTGTCCTTTGTTCCCAAATCCGCGCGTCGCGTTTCGCAGATACTGGTCTGTGGCTCCAAAGTGGCCGCGTGCAAATGGTGGGCAGAAAGCACAGTTGTGCGGCAACTACAGACAGAATCTGTCAGACACTGACGACTCTAAAGAGGCACGGCACCACACGATTCGGCCCAGAGCCAGGGCTCTAAACTTGAAGCCGCCCCAATTCCTCAAGACCATCCTCCGAAAACGTCCAAACCTTGCTGAAAGTCACCTTTAAACTCCAGTTCATGCCTTTGACATTGGCCCCAAACTCCAGCCATGGCCGCCGCTGTCTTCATCGTTTCTGGTGCCAGGGCATGGAGTGCAGTAGTTCCATGAAATCACCGAATCGATCGCTATCGCACCCTATACTAAATGCGGGAACCTTGACAATATGAGGGTTCCAACTCCGCATCTGGGTTCACACCCTTCCCCGTAACTGAGCCACCTTGAACCCTTAAGCACGATTCTCAATCTGAAACCCCCTATAAACGCTTAGGCTGCCTACTAAGTTAGGCTGTCATGGGCCCGAAAGAAGCATTTGATCGAGGGATGAGGTTCTTTGTTGCTAGAATCCTTAGAGAGGTCGTTGTTGGTGGTTGCGTTTGGGTAAAGTCCTCTGGGCGCTAGGAAATGTATGGCTTTGCCCTCAGGCGCTGGTGGAGTTGGTGCCTCCGTGAACGGCATCTCGATTGTTTACTATTTGGTGGGAAAGTAATGCCACCGCCAGCATGACCATTCTGGACAGAATCCTAGCACCCCACGTGTGTCCGCACGCTCTGCGAAAAGCTTGATACAAGAAGGTGAAATTGCAAGAACTTGGGATTCGGACAGAGGTCGTAGCAAGGAGGGCTTTCTATCCATCGCTATCCGTCGTCCTCGGGAAGGAAAGAACGTCGTGCTTTTGGATGATCTTGCAACGTCGAAGGTCTAAGACTGTCTAAGACTTTCGCCAGCACGTGAACTCGTACTGCTTGTCGCCCAGGAGTCTACAGTTGCGTCGGCACATTGAACGGCAAATCAAAGTATCAGCTGCAGGCAGGCTGCATGCCATAGTGCGTTGCGCGAGACCGAGCGAGCCGGCCGAGCAAAAAGCATGTCGGCATTCTCATTCCAGCACATCTGTCAGACGAATAGAGTCTTGAATAGAGAAGAAATGTACGAGCCCCACTTCCTGTATGGATTGAGAGGATGGACGGGCCATTCTCTACTACCACGATTTCTGGAAGATCAATTATCGCGATGACGAGTCTTGCCAGGGAAGGGGCTTCAGGACCAGAAACTCTCCGTCTTGGACAGCAAATCTCTTGGGAGGTGTTGACACTGTTACCGTTGGACAAAAAAGGATTCTTTGCGGCTTCATACAACAATCCTTCACCGCCCATGTGTAGCCTCTCCGTGCAAGACAAGGAACTAGTGTTTCTCTACATTCCAGCCAGAACAGCAGGGTTTTGAGTCTCGGGCTTAGGCTCCTGTGTCAGGCCCTCATTGAAAATATCCACTTTTCTGCTTCAGAACCTTCCAAGAGTGGGTGCTCCCGAATCCCAAAGCAGGGACCTCCATGATTGGCAGCCCAAAAACTCACGTATTTTAGCACACAATCTTCTTAGCCAGGTAGAATGGGTTGGAGATAAGCGAGATCAATGACGACCCGACCTAACACGACCTGCCCCAAAACTGGGTCCGTCAGCAGACCAGGAATCTGGCTGGTACTATTCGCATCCGGATGAGAAGTCGGAGTCGCCCCCTTTGGGCGAATGGACCACCGAAGGCATACAACTGTGAGCTGTTTTTGTGAGGTGAGGCATGTTGAGGGGCCTGAGCCTCAGCCTGCGCAAGGCTATTTCTTGGGAAATGCCGAGCCCGCGCCAACAGTGGCTGTGGAGCTGATGACGCAGGCAGCAACTTAGGGAGTAGATGATCTTGTGAAAGAGTGCACTGACCTGCCTTGGGTGTACGTGCAAAGCTGCCGCAGCTTCCCTGAGGTTCAGGTTTCAAGACTTGAGTTTTGGGCTTTGGGAATCCGTGGCGTGATGCTTGTGAACTTTGCGGTCGAAGCGGCAGCTGCGTTGCTTGCACGTTCCCTTCGCCCCCCCACCCCCCCATATTCCCACGCAGTCGACAAGGAACTTTGGGTGTCCGGCGCCGGCGGTGTGGGCTGCACGGTTAACGGCCTCTACACCCTCACCGAGTCCTTGAACGGACGACCAAAGTACCAGCAGGCGCACCAACCCATCCGCTTGTGGGCGCGCGAATAGCGTGTGACACCGGTTCTGCCACGGATGCGCAAGCCCGCACTTAGACTCTGAAGTGAAGACCTTCAGGAGGTGGCCATGAATCTTCGAGCTAGGGCCAGGGGCGGTTTGAGCTTCGGAGTCCCATACCTCACAGGAATCTCTTCCCCAGGTGAATGGCAGAGCCATCATGTATTTCAACGAGCATTGGAAGCTCAACTACCGCGATGCCGCCAACCTGCGAGTAATCATTGGCGGGTTGCTGGCAGGGCGGGCTTTGATGTCTTTTTGGGCGTTCCACCTCAAACCCCTCAGCTGAGGATGTGTCCGGCTGGTACTATCAGCATCCAGATGCATCATCTGAGACCCCGCCCAATGGCAGCTTGTCAAGTGTGCAGTTCTTTTGTAAGGGGGAAGGGAGGACAGTTGTGTGCTTGCGTGGCTGTGTGTGTGTGTGCCGCGCATTTGGGCCTGGGAATCCCATCCAACCAAGCTCCCCGGAGGTTGAGAAATTTCGAGACGAATTCACAACCTGCAGTGTTTTGAACAGCCTAGCAGATCCGAGCCAGAAACGATGCAGTAGTCTGTTTGTGGCCAGGTTTGAGAAACAAGTGTGTTCCAGACACAGGGTTCATCAACCCCTGCATGGTTTACCGTGCTGTCTGCCGCGGGAGCGCACGTGCGAGTTATCCGTCATGTCAGAAGGACAGGGATGTGTGTTCTGGGGCCGGAGTCTTCCCCCGACAGACCTTGGGCAGGACCCTGACCCCACCATATGTCAAGCTTGATCACTAACAGGTCCTTTGATCTACGCCGGATCTTGCCAAGCAAGGCAGGTCTATGCTAGACCGTGCAAGATCTCTCATCCCGGCGGACTCCTGTATGGAGCTGCGAAGCAACAACAAAGAGCACGCCGAAGGCAAACAACGATGTTCTCCCGGCGGCCGATCAGATGTTTTGTAGGCAGTAGGGTCAGATACGGGCCATTCAACTCGTTTGGTTCGGGGAAGGACCCTGTACTCCGGCCGAACTAATGGGACACGATCTTTAATTCTGTATCTGAAGCGTGGGCCAATCAACTCGTCTGGCCTTGGGAAGGCCTCCTTGCCCCGTCCGAACTTATGGGACAGGATCCTGCTTGTAATTGCGTCTCGTCGGGTTGTTTTTCGCTGGTGCTGCGTGCGTCTTAGTTTGCCTGAAGGTTTCCTCGGCTTTCTGTAGGGTGCAGGGTGAGACGTAAACGGCTCCAAGATGCCCCAGGCTATTGGACGACGGAAGGGTATTTCTTTGATGATGCTGACCCGCCACCGGTCGTGGCTTGCACCACGTTCGAGGCGGCTTCTTGGAGGGATATGCCAGAAATACTTTGTAAAACTGTCCGCCGAACCTGCGGCCAGTACAGAAGAGAAGTGAAGTGCGGACAGAGCCGCATGGTTTCACTGCGCAGTTGCAGCTCCCTTGACGGCAGGATGCGAGTCAGCAAGACACTGTGCTCAGATGCGCACGTCTCTCAGTGCGTGTGCGCCGTGGACCCGATTGGTGCTGGAACCAGCAGGACGGCGGTGCAGGCATCATGAGGGTGGGCAACAGGGAGGAATTCTGAGGGTTGAGAAGGGAAGCCGGTTTCGTGCATGTTCGAATGAAGCGATTTGGTTGCGGATTTCTGCGGGAAGTGTGGCGCAGGGCTTGGCTGCCTGGGCTGTTTGGGAAGCCGGGGAGTTGAACGTCACACACACACACACGCACACACGCACGCACGCACGCACGCACACACACACACACACACACACACACACACACACACACACACACACACACACACACACACACACACACACACACACACACACACACACACACACACACACACCCACCACACACGCCCACACACGCACACACACACGCCCACACACGCACACACACGCCCACACACGCCCACACACGCCCACACACGCCCACACACGCCCACACACGCCACTTCAGACACCCCAACCTCAAAGATTTGCTTGGACTGTTCCGATTGAAGCAAGTGAAACATGCCTACAATGCCCTTCAATGATCTTGATGGACGCTTCCAGCTACCATTCTCAAATGTTTCGTGGGAGAGCAGCAGCAAAGTAATTCGTGCCCTGAACCTGCTATAACCTACAGTGCATGTCTGGAAGATGTGTGGATGTTTCCTTTCCACAACCTGCACAAGGCCACTTTGGAGTGACAATCGAGCGGTTGAGTGCAACCCCTGGCTGGGTCGGAGTACTTTGGGACACAGGCCACGGCATGTGCGGGTGCCAGGAGAGTGTTTGTTTGCAGTCTCGGGATACCGTGAACCATCGCATGGCAGCCATGGTAACCACAAGGTGACCACAGAGCAACCGCACGCAGACCGACAGCAGAGCGATGTTCCTTTCTTGGGGACACCCATCCGGAGGAAGTCCGCAGGATGAGAGCATCGTCCAGGTTGTACCGCGCTCCCGTTCGAAAGCTCGCTTAGGTGACTGAAAGGCCTGGACTGAGTGATTTAGTGCTGTGCTCCCTCCCCTGCCCTTCCTCCCAATCTCTGAAGGGGGTATCATCACCAATCACCATCACAGAAAATAAAAGCACAGCCGCAACGAACACTGCCGACCAGCAGCCGCAACGACCGCAAACAACCACGACCATCAACGACAGCAGCAACAACAACAGCAACAACAAGAACAAGGTCACCTTTGCACAACGAACCAGAGGTTTTCGCGCCTCCAAAGTAAGGACAAAACAGACCTTTGGGTTGCGTTGATTCTCCCTCCATTTTCTTCCCCGAAAACGACTTGGGTTCTTCAGAGATCGCTGGTCCGATTTTGCACAGGCATTTCCTGTCACAAATGACGAATTTCGCCTCGGCTGAACACATCCGACTCTTTTGCTCAGAAAAGATCAACAAAACGTGCCTTACCCTTCCACAGCCACACTCATTCTTTTTGTTCTGTGTCCCCGCGCATCCACGTCACCAGTGCCGGCATGGCCGAGCGATGATTACGTTCGCTTTCTCAGCACAGGTATATACAGGTATGGTTTTCTGTGCACAGCAAAGCTCGCACCGAACTTCATAACCAATGCTGAGCACACTGTGCCACAAAGCCACAAACTGCAAGAAGCACAGGCATTGAAGAAGCACGGCATTTTGAATTAATTGAATTAGGATAAAATCCACACGCTGAAGCGCATCCCCGTGAGAGCCAGCATCATGAACCGTACATGCTCCTGAACTTCATAGAGGCGATGAAAACAACTACCGTGTCGGTCACGACGACAGCTACGACTTGGTCTTGGTCACGTCCTTCCGGGTGGCCGGGGCTGGAGGCGTAGGGGAGTTCATGAATGGGGACTACGTGCAGTTTGACACCTTCAACGACCGACCCCGATACCGCTTGCTCCTTGCTCTCCACTAGCTTGCCGGGCCTTGCAAGTCACTTTGAAAATCGCAAGAGTATGCACGAATCAATGCGAATCTAGACTTACTCGGCGGGATGCCTGCGGGACTCAAACTGTCAGAAGGTCTTGGCAATCAGGGCGTGCCCTTCAGCACTCGAAGGTTGTTAAACTGAAATTTCAAGCTTAAGAAGGTGAACAGGGAAGATTCTGCGCCTGAGGCATGGTGGCGATGCCATCTTGTTCTTCGAGGACAACTGGAAGCTGGGCTCTCGACACGAAGTCGGCTGGTACTACTGGCATCCCAACGCCGCCTCCAAGACACCCCCGACCGGCCCATGGTCGATGGCCTCCTTCTTCTCGACTCTTTGCCTCTGAACGAATGCTCTGCGGTGTTGCTTGCGTGCTGCGCTTTTGTAGATGTTCCTTTATGATTAGGCTTCAAAACTATCCTAAAAGACTACAAAGCTTAGCTACAGCGTGATGATGTAAAAGCGGCCTGACGGGTGCGACCTAAAGGCGCTGAGACCTGTACTATAACTCGTACGTGCCATTTCAAGTATCCTCAGCCTTTCATTGAGGAACCCCGAGAACGACATGAGCCCGGCGCCCTCGGTGTCTGAGATCCACGAGGTCATCGAGGCCAGCGGCGGCGAAGTCCGGCAAGGCACTGGGTGAGGTTCATTTGATGTATATCTCTTATGATGCCCCCTTCTGGTCGGGGGCGGTGCATTGAGTTGCAGGCATTGCCCCGCATGCCAAGGGGATACTGTTGGAATTTGTACAGCCAAAAGGGGATTAGCTGAACTTGCTTTTTCCCTTAGTCTTGCTGCCGGTGCGTGTGTGCGTGTTTGGTACGACCACCACGCACCCTAAGCCCTGTCTCCGAGCCAATGCCCCCAGCTGAGTACCTTTGTGAGGGATCGCAAGGGGAAGAGTTTCTGTTCCTGTGAAGTGGGCTGTCTTGCCTAAGTGCCCAAATCCAACCCAAGCCGCCCGGCTTGGGGGGGCGGGCCCATGGAGGTTCGGGTGGCGTTTTTCCCAGCTCGGATTGAGGGGCTCGGAGCGTCGAACTCTTGCTGGATCTCCCCAATGACGCAACCGGAGGGACGAAGAGATGGCGGGAGGGAACGTTTCCGGTGGCCGGAGTGCACCCCAGGCCGTCCACTCACTCACTCACTCTCTTATGATGCGAATACGGTCCATGCTTTGTTCAGCCTGTGCAGGTTTAGGGCTTAGAGCTTGCGGTACATCAGACCTCCTTTGCAGGCTTGTATATAGGCTGACAGGGTCCAAAGGGTTTTCGGGTTGAGTGGCCTCAAGGCTCTGAACCCCTTGAAGCTGGGCACCAGATGCCAAAACGTCGCTTTCAGGTTTTACGCGTTTCGGGGTGCAACAGCAATGGACGTATACTAAGATGGTGTGTCGTCGGAAGGTCATAGGACTGGAACTTGGCTTTAGGTTTTACAGGTTCAACGGGGGCTAGGGTATTTCAGGGGCATAAGAAATTCGACAGTCTACTCCAACTGCGGCTTGCTTGTTCTCGATGCCGATGCCTTGACGTTGCTTGAAAAGCGCATGGCATACACAGGCAAGAGCAGTGACACCATCGACAATATGCTGTGCGGCCACGACGAAGAGTGGGAGAATCCAGAGGAGTTCTCTCATGCAGGGGTTCTTGGGGGGATGTCATATGAGTATTCGGACAGACCAGCGAAATTGAGCTTCAAACCTAAGGATTAGGATGGAATACCAACGCTCATTGCAGGTTTGGTGTTCTGTTTTTGTTGGCGTGCCCTTGGACGCATGTGTATGCCCTTCAGTGCGACCGGGTCAGCAGGGCAGGCAAAAAAGCAAAACATTAACAAGAGTGAAGGGGCAGGCTTTCGGAAGCTTCCAGCCCTTCATCACCACCCGAGCATTCAAAACCCGACTCACGCTAAATTCAGCTATTGGGAGCGGCAACTGCTCATCTTGGCATCATCTCATGCAGGAAGCGCAGAAGTCGAAGTGCTCAGTTTGCCTGTGCGTCGCACGCGATGCCCTGTCCCATGGGTGGCTGAGCTGTTCTAAGCGTAGTGTCCTTAAGGGAGACAGCGTTTCAGGGTTTGTGTCTGCACTACCAGGCTTGAAAACAGCAGTTGTTGTCAGCTTCGGGTTAAGTTAAGAGTCAAGACACGACGTGCGAGTGCAGATCTGTTGGAACTGTTCCTTCTCGCTGTGAAGGTTTGCCCCAGCCGTCCAAGCTTCAGCATCTGTTATGAAGCCCAGAAATTCGGAGCCGGTAGTGCAAGACTGTTCATCTCATTGCAGCTCTCTTGCCCATGTCTGCATCAGAAATAGCACGGGCATCTGAACTCTGTTCACCAAAGGAACTCTCCGAACTATCCGACCCTTCGATTTGTACATTTAGGTGTGGACTCGTTCTGGTCTTGGCAACCTGGCCACTGGCCAAGACACACATCGGAACACGACAATCAGAGACCATCTGGAAAAGTAGCCGGTTTTTGACGAATAGTACATCCAAAGATATTTTTTAGACGGGTCGGGCTGGACTCCGAGAGCGCCCACGATCTGGGAGGTCGTGGTTACGGTCAGAAAGTGGGAAGGTAGACATCAAAACGGATACCGTTGCGCCAGCTGTCCAGGCCGTCACTCTTGAAGCACTGCCAGGGCTCAGCAGGGCCCTGGCAACCCCATTGACCTCCATGATTCGCCCTCATCTATGTCAGGCCTTCCTCAAAAAATTGCAAACCTCAAGAGCAGCCGAGGTGTGGAGAGTTATTCTGCGAAGCATGCTGGATGAGATGCCAGGCGGAGATCCTGTGTCATCTTTGTACACACTAGGGACAGGGCTTAAGAAGCATGTTTTCTCGAATGAGCCGTTTAATGATCGAGTTGTAAGCTTCAGTTCTGAATTTGATACACCAAACATGTTTGCAGGTGCATGGCACATTATATATCACCTTGAGACGACTTCCCGTGCACATATTGCGCGTGGATATTACGGTTTGAGCGCTGCGCGGTGCCCGCCTCGCCCCCACCTGGCGCGCAGAGAGTCGCAGAGGCTTTTGGGGCTTCGGGCAGTTTAGAGACTCAGGGCCGGTTCACACCGGCATGTAGAAGTTCCAACACTTGTCCTTAAAGTTTAAAAGGCTCCGCAGTCAACCCAGTGTAGAAGCAGGAATGATTGTAATCGAACTCGTCATCGTGCGCCGTGCGCTGCGCAGAGGAAAAGGAAGAGTGCCTCACACCCGTTTTCCCAACCTCTGACGCCTCACTGCCGGCCGAGTCGATTACACAACGATGTTTAACGATTGTCGGCTCAGTCTGACAGCAAGTCCCGCTAGTGCATAGGAAGACCGGACATTGCAAGTTAGTAAGTAGTTGCATCAAGGCACAGGGAAGCACCCTTTTGATGTCGCAGAACTTCCCTGCTTGCCAAAATCAATTCCGAGCATGGCTATCTCCGATGCCAGGCCGAGGACGAGAAGTGCCCTGTGTGCCGCCAAGACGGCAGCGCGAACGTGGCCCCGGCCTATGCGAATCGCCGAGTTCCCTGGCAGCTTCGGGTCTTGTCTTGCAGATGATGATGATGATGATGATGATGGTGATGGTGATGGTGATGATGATGATGATGCTGCTGTGAGGCAGCGCATTGGGCATTGGTAATAAACCTGCTTATGACAAAACTTGCTACAGTTGTCCCGCCAATCGCCCATGGCAGAAGTACACCAGAGAAGAAGATGTAAAAGCCGAGCACAAGCCATGAATGCTTGCCCGGGTATGCATGTTTTTGTGAGATGCTGCAGGATCTTACGATACTTTTGAGGATATGAGTGATCTGAAAGCCTTGCAGCTTCGCTGTTGCTTGATATTTACATATGTGGGTCTGGTTGGTGCACATGTTCAGTCGAGTCTATTTGCTAGGTGCCACCACAAGGTGCAGCTGTATGTTCTTTATGCGTGACTCGATGAGACGGTAAGTCAAGCTGAGGCCATACTGAACCTCATGATGCTCTGCCCCAACAAGTGTGGCCAGTCGTTCAGCTTGCGCGAAAAGGACGGCTTGGGTTCTGGTAGTCCACAGGACTTTGGGCGAGTGGGTTTTGGGGTGGCACCCTGCTGGATTCTCCGAGGCCACTTCTGTAGCAGGATGTAGGCACTCACTGCACAAGATGGTTCTTAAAGCTTGCAACGGCAAATGCCCCAAGGTCGTCGTTCTGCTTCAAGCCAACCCCGGGCCTCAAGTAGGTCCACACCATCTAGTTCAAGAGGTGCTGTAATCCCCAACTGCTGCATGGAAAAGCCGGTCATATCGGAGCAAGTCCTTTGGCTAAGAAACTCCAAGCAGACCAACTCTCGACAATGCGGCCAAATTTGGCCACCAGGACAGCCACCTCAGCGAATGTGCGCCACGAACTGCTCAGCAGCATGCGCCGGTGATTTGCGAGTAGCTGGGCTACGACGGCTCCAAGCTTTGGTTTCGGGTCCTAGCTTTACAGTCCATTGGCCCTGAGGAGTCGGGTTATCGGGTTGACAGTTCCTTTGGAAGTCGGTGTGACGTGTTTGCTCCCAATGGTTGACCCCCCCGGAACTTGGAAAACTTAAGTTGCTGGTTCCCAGAGCCGTTGATACAAAACTCCTTCGCCACGCCCTGACGACAAATCTTCCTGCTCACGGGCTGGGATGCTGCTCATTACAACCCCCCCCCCCCCCCTCATGAACACGGGCTCCGCTGACGCCGCAGATGCGAGCTCGAGCTTCGAGCCTTGCCCTGTAAGAAAATTCACGTGCCGCGCCTTTGAAAAAGATTGCGGGGCATCGCTGCGCCTTTTAAGCTTAGAAAAAAACTCCTTCCAATTGAGATCAGGACTGTGTAAACAGGGACAAAAACAGCTTCGACTGTTTTTATTGGGGGGGGGGCCACACACTGAAGCAGATACAACACTACACACTGCATCCCTTTCAGCCCGGACACCCCTCCTCAAGTGGTTCCCCCTCCCCCGTCAGACCCGTAAATCAAACGTGGCTGGCGTGGGGGCTGTTAAAGGCAGGTCAGCATGACATGAAACGATGCTGGTCCAAGCCGGGGCTTGCAGCAACGCTGTAGGCTCTGCGGAGACATGGTGCCTGCAGACGGCCTGGCGCGTCACATGGAATCAAACCCTGGCAAGCACATGGCGGCAGCTTGGCTGCAGGAACATGTAAGTTGAGAGCCCGCTTGTCAGAGCCTCACCCATCTTGGCCTATTGAACACAAAGGGGCTAAAGGTCCGGCAGGCCCTTTTACGCCCAAGAGCCAAGATTCCCTTGAATCCTCAAGTCTGCACACACTGTCTGCACTTGCACTCCTAAGCCCCGAAGCGCGTTAAATGTGGTTCTGCAGCATGATTTGACAGATGTTACCTGTGGTCCAAGTGCATGGCGCTCGAAGCAGAACTTCAACAAGTGTTGCTTTGAGAGGCACTCCTCATGGAGGTGGGTCGGCTTCGAAGTGAGGTCGTTGAGCTGAAGTCGCGCTTAGCGCAGCATGCCGGCGCGTAGCAACTGCGTGGCAAAGGATAGGCCGGACCTTGTGCAGCTCCAAAACCGGCTTGGACATGTGTCCCTGACGCCTTCAGCTTGAGAACCCCAAACTGAGCAGATTAACAATGGAAGGTCAGAACTCTTCTTGGGTGCAAGGACAGCCGCGTGACAGTTTAGCACGCGGAATGGAGAATTCGGTCGACAAACAGAACCGACGGTTGAGCTTGCCTGGCAAGGATTGCAAGCATTAGAAGGTCCTTTCCACCTTTGGTGCCCGAATGGGCGGAATTCAATGATTGGTGATGCGAGCCTCAAGGCCTGTTGCATGCAGACTTAGTAAGGGGCTCAATTGCTTGTGAAGGGAATCTGTCCTTATTGATACTGAGTTTCAGCGTGACAGGAAGAATCAAAAAATGCACATCGCTGCTCAATGCGATTCTGGCATTGAGGCTCAGTAGCGAAACGGTCGAGGTCTTCAGCTCCGAAAAAAAAGCGCGTCAACATACTCTCCCATGCTGAGTTTCTCATTTAGAGTTAGCATGGGAATTATTATTGTATGAGCAGGCATAGTGTGCAAAGCTCGTCTCGAGAACGTCGGAAAGAGAGTCGAGAGGAAGAGTTCGAGCGAGAGACACGGAGGGAGAAGAGAGAGCAGCACGGAGAGTGTGATGATGATGCCTTCAACGCGTCTGGACGCGGCCATGGGCACCCAAGCCAGAGACTACTTGCGAGAAGACAGCACTGCGGAAAGTGCACGAATCTCTGAGAGTGTCATGCGACATTCCGAAATGCACTTCCTAGCTGTGACTCGTGCCTAGCAAAGGGTGGGGGGGGGGGAGGGGGGGGATGTACCGAAGCTCACACATAGTGAGTGGAAAGAACATCCGGTGTCCCACATACAACAGCCAAAGCCTCCAACACCACAGCTCGGGGGCCATGGCTTGGGGGTTCCATGTTTTGCTTCCGACAAACAGTGTGAAGCTCAGGCGTGGGAACGGCCACAGCTGGACAGATGCAGACACCACTCGGCCGGAGCGGCCGGGACCCTGCCCTCAAGGTCACCAGAATATCCAATACATATTGTTATCGAATTATATATTAATATATCATTGATTACACTTGCTATAACCAATTCCCGTCTGCATATGGTGACAAGAGAAGGAACCTTGTCCCTTCAGGCGCCAGGATCAAAACCCTCTCAGTCAGAGTGAAACAAAGGAATCCCAAAGTAAAACATCGCAACGAAATCCACTCGCGAAATCCCTAGTGAAGCGAACCAACGAGCCACGATTGGGCAATGCACCCACCACCAGCCGCAATTAAGGGAAGACGCCAGTGGAGAAGAGAAACAGAACGAAGACGAAGGGATTCTCAAGGGATTCTCAAGCTTAGAATCTCGAGGGTGAACCAATCCTAGAAATTCAACGGCTCAGAAGATGTGCGAGATCAGTCATGGATGAGGATGTCCGCGCGGGGGACCATCCTGGCAAGAATTGTAATCAAAAAGTCAAGCACCTCCCCACCCAAGCCGTTCAATACTTCTTTCGCCTCACGCAAAGATGGTGCCAGGCGCGAGCCCTTCCTAAGGCCTTACAAAGCCAATCGTGCCCGACCTCGGGCATCGTGGCGGCCCTTTCTCCAAGCCGAAAGGTCCTCTGATGGTTGGAATGAAGGATCCTGGCTCAAGAGATGGAGAGTCTACTATTGACACTCCTCTCTCTTCGGTTCAAATCCAAGAGTGAAATCTTGATATGTGCATTTCAATGTCGTCAATGCCTTGGCCATTCGGCATGGGCAGACAGTAAGATGACAGCTGCTTGAGCTCACTGCTTGAAGACTCGAGGATCTTTGCTTCCTTCGTAGTAGGTCACAGGCACCTGGTAGCCGGAGGTCTTGAGGTACCTCTGCAGATCCTTTACTTTCGCGGAGCTGCCGTTGAAGGGCACAACGAAGCCATCAATGTAGCTGCGGACGCTGGCATCGTTCTTGGCCCGCTCTACAAGTTCAGCGTAGCTCAGCTGAAGACTTGCCACCTTTGGTAATGTGCAGAGCGTGGTGCTCCACTGTTCCAGGCTGGTCACGCCTGTGGGGAGGTTCACCGTGGTTGCCACTGTTGGCGCAGGATGTAGCGGAGCCTGGTCTGAGGGCTCACGCACGTGCTCAAAGCCGTAGTCCTCCACGTCCTGGTCACTGAGACGCCTCTTCGGGGCATCCGTCATGCCATGCATCATTTCCTGGTTGGAGCTCAAGGCTTGCGTCGTACCGAAGGCCTGCTGGAGCACGTTCACCACATCATCTCCACGCCCTTCCGCCTGAAGGCGCTCCACAAGATGCCGAAGCTCAACTGGAGACACCGATGACGAGGAGGGTGAGCTGGTCTTCTGCTTGGGCGCCATGCGGTCCAAGGTGCACGAAAAGGGTTGCTGATGTTCGACTACACAAAACAAAACAAAAGGATTGCTGCTTTAAGAGAAAAAAGGATTACGCGGCCAGCGTTACCTTGAGGCAGACACTGGGGATTGTGGCAGCATCGCTTGCTCTTGACAGTGATGCGTGCGCATTGCTTGGCGTGGTCCCTCCACGCAAGCGGACTACCCCACCACTAGTCCCCGTGACTAGTCTAAACCCTAGATCCCGGAACCACCCTTTCATACCAGATCTCTGTTCGAAGCAAGGACACAGGGCTGGATAGCCACTGCTTTTCGCACAGTAAGGACTCCTGGAGGTCCTCTGACGCGAGAACTTTCCCGCTGCGTGCGTCGAAAGAGGTGCGACGAACAGCCTTGCCTTGAACGATGTGTTCTTCTTCAGGGGAATGATATGAAGTAGCTTCGTGATCTAGGTACACCTTTCGAAAGACTGCGCCTGGAGTTTGGCTCTGCTCATAGTTCGGGCTGTTCGTGCTCCCTAAAGGCTTTCTCTGGACACGCCTGTCTCGTTGCGCCTTCTTCTGTGCCAACACCTCGGCCTCGTTAGACAGCTGATAAACCCCGTTAGCTAGCAATGCGCGCATGAGGTCAGCGGGATCTGCTTGGTTCTTGGTGAGCCCGTCTGCAATCATAAGCTGAGTGGGACACCACCTGACCTGCAAACCACAACGAGACATGGACTGGCGAACGATTGCCAGGTCAATGGCGACGCGTTTGTCTTCAATCTTGCCTGGCGATGTCGGAGTGTTGAGTGCATCAAACAAGGACTTGCAGTCTGTCACCCCTGTGATGGGCACACATCTAAGGTGATCTTCACAGGCCCTAAGGTCGAAACACCCGTGCTTAGCCTCTGACACCATGAGAGACATCCACTCAGAGATTCCACTCGCAGTAGCGAAACTCTGCGTCTCACCAGCAAGCGTGGACGCCACTACTCGGGACATCTTGTATGATTTCCAGCAAAAGGGTGACCACACACTGGGCTGATCTTTGGCCAACTGACTAGTTGTGAACGCGAGGATGTACCCGGCTTGGGTTTTACCCTGTGAAGCATTAGCAAACCCAGCGTCACTATGGAAAACTATATTGAGATCTTCCCAGGGCACATGACGAACAGTGAGCGCCACGTCACTGTACTGACGGGCTCGGTGCACCGCCTCATTGGCGGACAGGAGGTGCTCAACAGTAGGACTGGGGAACGCCTGCTGTGAGAAGGAGGCCTGAACGCTGATATCAGGACGGGTTTGGGACGCAAGCCAGTTGAGGGCACCGTTCACTGCTCGGAGAGCCGTGATCTCACGTTCATTCGCCAGCTGTTTCCGCTGCTTCTGTCGATCCTTTGTCATGGCGATGGGTCTTATGTTCTGCGCGTATGCTTTTTGATCATAAGTGATCTCTTTAGACTCAGGGTCTTGGAAGTATTGAACTCCGCAAAATTCCCCACTGCCCTGTCTCCATTTACGATATTGAAACCTCGCCTTTAGCCTCTGAATGGCTCGGTTGTACGCTTCCCCTTCGCCCCCCGGTATGGTATCATCCACATGTGCCCCTAGGATCCCCGTTAGCCCTCTTTGAGGCTCTCGGTAGTAGTACAAACATGGGTCGAAGATGCTACGCTGGAACCCTGCGGCCTGCGCCTGAGCATCAAACTCCTTGTACCACTGGGCCGGCGCATCGTTAGCGCCGTAGAGGTTCCCCACTATTTCTATAACAGCTGAGGGGTCTACGCCCGGAATCCCTCCAGGGGGTTGCGCGGCGAATAGAGGACGATATTTTTCAGGGATTGGACCTGCTTCGAGGAAAGCGCCTTTTATATCGCCTAGGTTTAGGGTCCAGCCTTTGGAGACAAGGACTTGAAGCAGCCAGGCGCGCGACAACTGGTGCATCGTTGGGCTGTGACACTCACCCGAAGCAATCTTCTGATGGAAGTCGGGATCGTTGTGTCCAAGCAAGCACCATCTCGCCTTTACTCTAGATCCCTCTTCATCAACCTTGTTCGTAACTACAAACCGGCTGCCGATGAACCTATGCCCGAACTTCTCCTTGATTTCTCTGGCCTTAGCCCCCGTGTGCACTCTTACAGCTGCCTTGCCGGACACCGTCTCCCACTCAACGAGTTTTGCCTCGTCGATGCGATGCTGCATGTCCGGAGTATTTCCGGTGGCGGGGAGCTCTTTCTGAGCTCGCTTCTGCAGAAATGCAGCCATCAGAATCTCCACATGGCTGCTATGCAAGTGCTCCATATCCAGAGTTTCTTGACAAAAGAGAGCCTCTGTGGACACAGTTCGAGACCTCACACCTTCAGGAGACTCTGTCGGCTCATTACTGGCCGCCCGCTTCTGGCTACTGGCTCTGGGGGTCTCTGGTTGCACAGTCTGCGGTACGTCTGAGCTACTACTAGGGCTTGCTCCCGGGACCTCTTGGGGTAGTTGGGCTATAAGGCGAGGAACAATTTCAGACATCATTTCAGCGAAGTCTTCAGGATTAGAGTCGGGCAATCTACGGAGACGGAGGTTGCTCTCAGGAGTTTTGCGGACGATGCGTCTGACAGGGGCGTATGACGATTCTTCCTTTGGGCTGGCTTCAGGAAGTGTTGTAGGGTAGGGTTCTGCGTTGGCCCTGGCAGGGGCCGAGCAAGACACTTCTGGAGCTTTCGGGCTCTCGGTCCCTGCTGCTGTCTGCCTGTGCTGTTCCAGCCACTGCGCTGCATTGAGACCCGCAAGGCCTTGTGACGGCTCATCAACCGTGGCCTGAGCCTCTTCAGGGGCCTCTGGAGGGCGGCTCTCCTGAGTGACATCCACAAATTGGCTTTTCGGGAATTGACCCTTTTCAAGCAGTGTCTTAACGCCTAGGAGCTCGCTCTCCGGAAACTCTGCCACTGTGGCCTCAGATGGGGTTGCAAAACGAAGCTGTTCAGGCGCGCAGCGCAAGAGACTACGCCTGTGCGCGACAACGAAGTTGCGACCGACCGATCCCAGCACTAGCCCTGCCCCGTACCATCTCCCCCCCTCTATTCTTATCCCATCGACATGCTTCTGTGTGCGCCAGTAGTAAACCCAGTCCCCCGAACGAAAAGGACGAAGCGCACGCGGGCGTGCACGAAGTGCGGCACGAACAGCGCGATCGCTTTGGCACTCAAGCATGGCACGGCGCGACGCGGCGCGGACTGCAGCTGCGCGCTCTAGCGCTGGTTCTGCCTGTTCGGCATCGACGGCACCCAGGTGAGGCGCCTCCTGCATAAGATCCGTGGGAACGCGCGGATTGCGCCCGAAAACAAGCTGGTACGGACTGGCGCCCGCTTCAGTCAGGAGGGTGTTTTTAGCGGATTGAGCATGGGACAGGCAATCACGCCACTCTGGTTCTGACTGGGGACGGATCTCATCCAGAACGCGCTGGAAAACCCGACACAACCATTGGCCATGCCGCTCCACTTTGCCTAGTTGCCAGTGGGCGTCTGCGGCAGTATGTCGCATGTCGATGCCGGTGTTGTTGCAGAACGCGCCTAAAACCTGTGAAAGGTTGGGCTGAGAAGGGTCTAAGCACAGGGTCTGAGGAGGGCCGGCCCACGACACCCACCGATCGCGAAGAGCGTCTCGAGTGGTTTCACCAGTTTCGGTGCGATGCAATGGAACCATAACCTGAAGGGAGGTGGCGAAGTCAACCATGTTGACGCATGGGATTTTTTGACCTGACAACCACCCTGGCAAGTACTTAACGTCTAGCCCTACTTTTTCATTGAACTGGGATGCACTAGAGGTGTTAGCGGGGAGTGGTGCTGTTGGCCGACTCTGGTTTGCACACACGCTGCAGGAGAGGCTTGAAGCACGCTGGACCGCACGATCTGAAGCACCACTGTGCTTGAGAACCCGAACAAGCTCCTTATTTGAGGGATGTCCTAAGTTATTGTGCAACTTAAGGAGGGCTTGGTCTATCTTTATGAGTCGCTGCTGTTCTTGGGGATCTTCAGGTTGCTCATTTGCTGCAGGCGCTTCGTGTTGTCTCGGGATCTCAGGTGCTCTTTGGAAAGCGCTTCCTGCGAGGCATTCGCATTCCAAGGCAGTCCAGTCCAGGGGATCACCCTGCACAACCAAGCTTTCACACGCATTGAAACCCACGTGCCTCCAGAGCATTTCGACGAAACCTGAACAATACCTACCTGAAAACTCGCTCCTACTCACCCCCGAACTTGCATGGCCCTGGATGTGCTGATGCCTGTGGCATCCGGGACAGGTCCTCGCTCCTTGAGCAAGGTTCGGATTCGAACACAGCAGAGCGGTCTCCCTTTTGATGGGCAAACCGGACCTAGGGCAGGTGAGACCGTAGGCACACATATCAACCCGAACCAGACCATACTTATTAACTAGGGGTCTAATGAGGGGGTCTTTCCAGATCCTAGAACCCACCGGATGTTCAAGGAGAAAATGACCGCCGCGCGCCAGTTGGCGCTGTATCTGCTGGGCACAAAAGCGAAACTGCTGACGGCTCACCATCAGCATGCGGGCTCTTTCCAAAGGCGTCCTGTGGATCATGTGAAGACTGTCCCAGTCACCACAATGAATGCATGGGGGAGATGCTGTGAGTAAGGCAGGTCTGGCCTCTTCAAGCAACTGGTCTACCTCCTTCTGCGTGCTCCTACATCCTAAATCACACCCCTGCTTAATGTCAAACGCCAGCCCCGTTGCTCCATGCTGGCGAGCCTGTTCAGTCAGGCGAGGGGGCGAGAACAACTCCGCCACTGCAACCTGTGCGGATTGCTTGGCGTCTAGGGTTTTAACCTGGGCTAGGAGGCACTTACAGTGTTTGTTCTTCATGGGTTTCTTGTTCTTGTTTGTCTTAGGGCTTAAGGGTCCTAAGGGTTCAGGCGATGGCGGTGGTGGTACATGTCCCTCCAGTGAAGGCTGCAAGCCACACGTGACGTCCTGAGCCACATCATTCTTACACCCAGATGCCTCTACTGAATCCGCAGCGGGAAGAACAGGCTTATGAGCAACCATGCGGCTGGGGTAGCTGAGGATGTCGATGAGAAGCTGGCCAGCATCATTGACCTTCATGGGCACGGCCTCCTGAGCGTTCAGGAACCGCATCGTCTTGTTGCCGAAGTTCAAGGAGACCTGTAGCTTCTCTAAGGTTGGACGCCCCAACAGAAGAGGAGCTCGACCTTGGATGACCGCCGCATCGATGATGCCAGGCACCCCTCCGATGCCCACAGGTATCTTCACGGCCATGCTTGAAACCTCCGTGGCGCCATTCCCGAACCTGAACGAACTCGTGGCCTGGTAGGTCTCAAGCGTCTTGCCGATCATGCTGCCTATCTTTGCCTCGAGCTGCTGGAGCGTGTCCTTTCCGATGAGCGTGCGTCCACAGCCGGAGTCTACAACCCCGAAACCCGGTGAAGACACGAGTCCCGCCGCCAGAACAGGCACTCCTGCCTGAGCGGCGACCTGAGCCATTCCAACGAACATCACATCGGAGGGTTCCTCAGCGGGGTCGACTTCGTACTGCGCCAGGGACACCTCCTGCTCGACCAGCTGCGCCTCCACTACGCCAGTCGTAGACGAAGCCGTCGGCCTGCTGGCTGCTGAAGACGAGGAGCCGCCCTTTCCACCTCCAGAGCGACACTCTCTGGCCCAGTGGCCCACTCGACCACACTTCCGACAGCGTGTCCTTCGCTTGAGTTCTTCGATCTCAACTCTGAATGACTTCTTGCTGTGCTGGGCAGAGTCAAACTTGCGATCTTTCTTGAAGCGGGCTATTTCAGCACGACGTTCCTTCCATGTGGCTGCAAGGGCTTCTGCAGCCTCGTTCTCTGGGATGCTTTCATCTGGGTCACTTCCCAGCTGGTGGTCTGCAAGGAATGCCTCCACATCTGCGAAGTCTTCAGGCGCCTCAATCGTCTCGTCGATCTCGGAAGGCTCTGCGAGGAACGCTGTGGTAGGCCGCTTGGCCTTGGAACCGGCCTTGTAGAGGGGGGAGCAGGATCTCATCGCCGAGGTGACAGACTCAAGGTCCAACTTGCCCTGAGCCTTGGCTTTGATGATCGCCTTCTGCTCCTCGCTAAAGCCAGCACAGTTCAAAGCAATCCATCCCTGAGCAGGGGATGGAAACTTGACATCGGCTTTCCGATGACACTTCGTGAAGACCTCTGCCACTCGAGCGGTCCACTGCTGAACTGTCTCGTTCTCGCGAGCTGCCAAGCCGAACACTTCGCCAAGAGCCTCGCCCATCTGGTCATGGGCCTCCTTTTCAGGAAACCTCTCCTTGAGCACGGCGAGGATCTTGCTGGCCCCATCCTCCACCTGGAGTGAGCTGAGCTCCAGGTGCTCCACGGCCTCTAACGCTTTTCCGTCGAGAAGGGTGTACAAGAAGGGGCCTTGCTGCTTGTTTGTCAATTTGTCCATGGTGTACATCTTAGCTTCGGCCCATGCACGCCATCTGCGCAGCTGTCGTCCCGGGTCATCTTCTTCGCCATTGAAGCGTTTGAGTGAACGCTCATCTGCGCCCGACATTGCTGGAGTCTACTATTGAACACTGGTCCCTGCCTAGGGACGAAACACTACCAACCCAGGTAGTCGGAGCCACGGCCCCGCTACCAATTACAAAGCCAATCGTGCCCGACCTCGGGCATCGTGGCGGCCCTTTCTCCAAGCCGAAAGGTCCTCTGATGGTTGGAATGAAGGATCCTGGCTCAAGAGATGGAGAGTCTACTATTGACAACCCTAAACCCTAAACCCTAAACCCTAAACCCTTAAACCCCAAACCCGAAACCTATGGTCAAACCCGAAAGCCTCTCGGGGGGGAAACATGTATACAGGGTGGGGCCCCCTAGTTACAAGTAGAGTTATAAGGGCCCTAAATTGGGTTAGAAGGACCCTAAGTTAGGTTATAAGTCCCTTAACTACAGTTAGTATAGTAAGGGGGCCCCACCCTATAGGGGATGGGCTACGCTTCACAGCGTCCTTCATGCCGGCGCTCTGCGTTCCCGCGAGCTCCTGGACACTCCGAAGAGTCTTCGGAGGGTCGCCGGCTTGGCTTCAGGGGGGTGCATTTAGGGTTTAGGGTTTAGGGTTTAGGGTTTAGGGTTTTTATTCGTAATAGGGTGTGGGGTTTGGGGTTATTTAGGGTTTAGGGTAACGCCCATGCTTTGCACAAGGAGTTCTGGCTGAGGGTTGCAGGGTTGAGTGCGGGGGCTCCTTAAACCAGATGAGCCCCTATAGATGGGGTTATGTACCCTATGCATTCTAATCCGAACTCAGGTACATAGACCATAAACCCTTTTCGGGTACCCTAAACCCTGTACCCTAAATCCTAAACCCTAAACCCTGGACACGCAACCCGTCCTGGGTTCGCCGGTTCAACTCCGCGATCTCCTCTCGTGGGGCTCTTTAAGCCCTAAACCCCTTTGCCTTAGCCCTAAACCCCTAAACCATTAACCCTAAACCCTAATTGCCCTAGACCCTAGACCCTAACAACCCGAAACCCTGTTGAAAGGGTGTTACAGGGGCTCAAAAGGGAGCCTGAACAGGGGAAAAAGGACCCACTAGGGTTTAGGGTTTAGGGTTTAGGGTTTAGGGTTTAGGGTTTAGGGTTTAGGGTTTAGGGTTTAGGGTTTAGCTCGAATGCGGTATGCAAGGCAAACCGCACAACCTCAACCGCGCAGCTTAGCCGCAACAAGAGCCTTCCGTCCGCTCCCGACATGGCGAGGGAGAACATGAAACGCCATAGGCCAGAATAGGAATGTATGGATAAGGCCCATAGAAAGTAGACATGATGCTCAAGGCAACCCCAGTAAGGGCTGCTAGAACTCCTTCGAGCAATTGCGGCTCAGCATGCCAAAACCCTAAACCCCAAACCCTCAACTCTAAACCCTAAGCTCTAAACCTAAACCCTAAACCCTAAACTCCAGACCCTTCACTCCTGAACCCTTGCTCCTCAGCGAGCGTCGACGCCTTGGAGCTGCGTCGACTGGACTCCCTCCTGGGCGAGTCGGTGTGGTGTCTGTCGCTTTTTTTAGTCGGGAAAAGCCACGCAAGACTCGAAACATCGAACAAACATGCAGTGACCGCCGTCCTCCCTAAACAAGAGGAGCCCTACCCTAAACCCTAAACCCTTTTTTGACCCCGCGAGCTCTGCCGGGCTTCACAGCCGTCCATGCAGCCTTCATGAGCACTCGTGTAATGCCAAAGGTGTGTCTGGGATCCAAGGCCTAGTACTCGTGACTACGCCCCGAATCACGTCAGGAATGAACGGCACTGGCATAGGCCCTTGAGGCCGCAGCAGTACCTAACGTCTCGAAGGTAACAACAATACCCTAAACCCTAAACCCTAAACCCTAAAACCCTAAACCCTAAAACCCTAAACCCTAAAACCCTAAAACCCTAAACAAGAGCCCCCGGTGGCCACCAAACTCCTGTGCTTCGAAGTTTGGGGGCGGGGGTTGGGGGTCGGTGCTTTCGACTCTCACGCCCGGACTGATAAGGAGGCTCCAGCGATGCTGCACACCATGACCGAACTAAATTTGTGGATGACTTCCTATGCAACGGGAGAGAGCTGGTGAAGGGTTTAGGGTTTAGGGTTTAGGGTTTAGGGTTTAGGGTTTAGGGTTTAGGGTTTAGGGTTTAAGGTTTAGGGTTTAGGGTTTAGGGTGAATCATCACCCTTGTGATTTTGTTGCCTCTGCATCCTCGAGAGTAGCAAGGTGCACGCCTTGCGCCCTCTTCGCGGGTAGATGCCATGGATCAGAGTTCAGACCACCTGTTTTCTTCACACCTCTGCTGCCTATTGGAGCAGATTCGCTTCATGAAATGAAGTTCATCCGTGAAGAAACGAAACTGCCTAGTTGTGGGAGCTGGGCCACGATCGATCTGCCCACCGCAGCATCCACTAAACCCCAAACTCCTCCTCAAGGCCAGATCGATACTCCCCTTAGACCTTGGGTTTGAAAAAACAATAAGAACCGCAAAACAAATGCTAAGGGTGCTATAGAGATTAGGGTATGGGGCTGCTGGCTGGGCCACTCCATCTCCCGCTGCTTTCGCTCTTCCAGGTGCTGTGCTGCCAGTTCGCGTGCCCGCTGCCACCTCAGTCGAGGTTGGGGGGTTTAGGGTTTAGGGTTTCGGGTTTAGGTTGAGGGCTTCGGGTTTGGGGTTTAGAGGTTCTGGGTTCCCGAAGTCATCCGCCCTCCACTCTTCGGTTGTGGGGATCCTACCCTGACTGGCCCATACATGGGCCCTGCCCTGCAGAATGTCTCAACTGTTCTGTCTCTAAGACGACTCTCGGACCCTAAACCCTAAACCCTACTGAGGCAAAGTAGATCTGCCTGAGCTCCCTGCTTTGCCTTCGTCGCATTGTGCGCCGCCCGGATTTGCTCGAATTTCCTGGGGGGGGGTGGGTGGGAGGTAGGGGGGGGGGGGGGGGGGGGGGTGGGAGCTAGGGGGGATTTGGGGGCCCTATAAAAATTCAAATTTCTATGGGCCACTAAGGGTATATAGGGATTCGGACCCATGGAAATTTAGAAAGTAAAAATTTACTCTAAATCCACCCCAGTTTCGTCATGAGTTGAGCAGGATCCGAAGGGCACTGGCGACTGGCGGTGCAGCTGAGCCAGAACTGGTATCTGCGGCACGAAGTATCGTTCCTCAACCGCAGTTGTATTAGAATACGAGACCGGCATTTGTAGCCATCACAGGCCAAGTCGCAGGAGCTGTTGCATACGATCGAAAGGCCTTTGACAAAAGAAAGTGCCAGAACGGTCCAACCTCATCGCACTATTTCTGGCATACATGATCAGCAGCAGCACAAAAGCACAGCGGCAGAAACAGCATCTGAGGGTTTTGATAATCAGGGTACCTTTTCAGGGGGCCGTTTTGAAATGGGGTTCTACTATATTTGGGGGTAAACGGGGTAGTACCCCTCTTCTAGGAACCCCCCCATATTTCAATGAGCCTTTGGGCCGGCAAAGCCTCCCCTACCCCCCCCTCCCCCCGGACCATGCACCTCCAAGAAGGCGTCCTCCAGCTCTCCACCCATGAAGGCCTGCACGCTCGGCCTTTTGGGGCTTTCTCGCACCTCTTCTTTCGGCATGCATATTCACAAGTCCCAAGTCCTAAGGCCGAAGCGAGTGCCCAACTCAACCCCCCCAAAATCCCTAGTAAGCCCGATAAGACTTCTCCCCCCCCCCCCCACCCTCCCCAATGAAGGCCTAAGCTGAGTTGGGGCATCTTCCGCGGGTGCTCGGAAGCATTTTAGCAACTTGGGCATCCCAGAGGTTGAGGGTTCCGTAGTTTTCTAGTGATGGACTGGCATGCCCCAAAACCTCTACAGCCCTTTTTGAACCCAGACTCTGCATGTCGGCTCTATAGCCCTAACACCTTAACCCTTGAAAAGCCCTTACAGCCCTCAAAGGCCCTTAAAAGCCCTGAAAAGGCCCACAAAAGCCCCTTAAAAGCCGCTGGATGCCCTCGGTGCCCTCTCGGGGCCCGGGCCGCAGCCTTCAGGACCAGGCTCGATCGCTCGAAGCCCAGTAGCCGCCTTTGCCAGGCGCGAGAAGTTCAGGGTTTAGGGGTTTAGGGGGTTCAGGGTTTGGGGGGTTTTAGGGGGTTGAGGGTTTACTGGTTTAGGAGGGTAAGGGTTTGGTTTAGGAGTTAAGGGGTTTAGGGGTTTCGGGATTTCGGGGTTTCGGGGTTTAGGGGCTTAGGGTTTAGAACATTAATTAGGGGTGTTTCGGGGAGGGTTTAGGATTTAGGGTCTTTTTTTGGGGGGGGGGGGGGGGGGGGGGTTGAATAGGCTTGAGGCTCTAAGAGCTCAGGAGGGCATTCCGGTTTTAAGGGTCAGGATGGGCCGTTCAGGCTTCGAGCAGGACTTTAGGGTTTAGGGTTTAGGGTTTAGTGTTTAGGGTTTAGGGTTTAATTCTCATGGTCCCCTTGCGGGATTCCTAACGCCCATGGAAACATGTTTCTACGCGACATTCCTGACTCTTCCTGCCATCGACACTGCGTTTGTCTCAGAATTTGTGCCGGCTTGGCATCAGGCAAAGTCCGCGTGCCTGGTCTTGCAAATAAATCAGCATCGCAAGCTTAGAATCAGATAGCCACGGTGCTACAGCTGAAGGCTCTCGGATTGGAGCTGTCTGTCGCTTGGCGTGTCAGAGCTTCTTGACTTCGTCTTCTATCGCAGTGCAGTCGCCTCCATAATGGGGCTTGCCCCAAGCCACGAGCGCACCATCTGCTGTGAGAGCAGCGAAAGCTCCGAGTGTTGCTTTCAGCTGTTGCACATGTACGAGCTGTTCCTGGACATGTCTGCTGTCCCCTCCCCACTCTGGATCGCCCCAAGTTACCACACGTCCGTCGGTAAGAAGAGTAGCGAACGCCCGATCTGTCCCACACACCTCTTCGACATTTCGAAGCTGCTCCTGCACGTTTGAGCTGTCACCACCACACTTTGGACTGCCCCATGCGATGATGCTTCCGTCCATTTGGAGAGCAGCAAAAGCCCCACCTGTGGAGCACATACTCTTGACCTGCTGAGAAAGCATGGCTGGAACCTCGTTGGTGTCATCAGGCAAGGAACCCCATGTCACGATGGAGTTGTCAGACAGCACTGCAGCAAAGCTTTTATCCGTAGCCGCAAGCTGCTGAACGTTCTGAAGTCGATCTTGGACTGCTGCGCAATCGCCACCGTACTCTGGATCTCCCTGTGCAATAACGGCTCCCCCTGCCAGGAGAAACGCAAAGGCACCCCCTGTAGCCTTCACCTGCTTGACGTTGCGCAAGACTTCGCTGGTGGCGCCACACCCAGGGTCCCCCCAGGTCACGATCCTCTTAGAGGGTTCTTAAGGGAGGAGGTTCAAGGGGGGGTATGTAACCCTTAAGGATCCCTATAATCCTCCCTACTACTCCCTTAAGAACCCCCTATTAGAAGCCTCTCATCTCGCAAGAGGGCCGCAAACGCGCCCCCGGTGGCCCAAAGTTCCTGGACTTCCTGGAGCTGGTCTTGAACTTCACTGCAGTCTCCACCTTTCTCCTCATCTCCCGCCGCGATAACGCTACCATCTGCCAGGATAGCTGCCACAGCCACATCTGCTTCCTGGACTTGGATGGCACTTCTCAGCTTCTCTTGAAAGTCGGCGCCTCCAAACCCAGGGAAGCCACCCCAGGTAATGATCCTGCCATCCAGCAAGGTGGCCGTAAATGTTTCCCAGGAGGACCTGACATGGAGAACCTGCTGCAGCGACTCCCTCAAGCAGCCAACCTCTGCGTCTCGATGCCCCCAAGTCAGCACACCCCCGCCAAGCCACCACAAGCAAAACGAAAACTTGGTAGCAAGCATGCCTTACTAGTTGTCCAGTAATCTGGGGGAATAAAGGTTAACCTTTTGGGACTTTATAGGGATTAGAATACCACCAAAAAAGGTTACAAAAGGCTACCTACTCTACCGCTAAGATGCTTGGCGGGCGCACCACCCCAATCAAACGATCTCCGTCTCGAAGACCAGCCATGGCAAGTGGCAGCGCCGGATCCAGAATCCCGCCACCCTCCGCCAGAAGTTGCAAGAAGGGGGCGCCCAGAGCCTCCTGGGCCGCCATCTTGAGGTCCAGAACCTTAGGGGCCGAATACCCTAGCCCCAAAAAAGGTTAACCTTTTCTTTTGTAATTGGATTGTATATAACCAAAAAGGTAAAAGGTTAACTATACCCAGCCCCTAAGTCACTGTGGAGTTGATACCAGCCGGTACCAGGACCGATCTGCCGCTTGCCAGCGACACCTCGATGGTCACTTCAGCCATCAGACGCCGGCGGCGACAGCGCGCGGGCGGCCGGCTTTCCCGAAACCCTAAACCCTAAGCCCTAAACCCTAAGACATGCACCTGAAGAACGAGAACAAGAACACACCGCCAGAGCAACAACAGCTGACAAAAAGGGAAAAGACAGTACTCAGGTATAAAACGGAAAAGACTCTATCTCATAAACATGGCAAGACAGTAGCAGCAACGCAAACTGCAGAAGACCAGCGTTTCTACCTCCTCTTTTTGAGTATTCGCTCTCCGCTAGGAGCATGCCCCAAGGAGGGACTTCCTTTTTTTAAGTAGGCTTGATGATTTAGATGCTTAGGCTTAGTGTTTAGGGTTTAGACGGTTTAGGGCTTAAGGCTTAAACAAGTTTGGAGGTCTCCAAATGAAAAGCCCGACAATGCCCTAACCCTTTGCATCTGGGCTCGCTGATTTGGTCAGAACCAATGGCTCTCCGAAAAGCTCAGGATACGCGCCCTACCCCCCTACCCCCTTGTGGCCCCTAAACCCTAAAGCCAAAACCCTAAACCCTACACCCTACACCCTCAAGCCAAAACCCTAACTAAACCCTACACCCCAAACCCTAGAAACCCTAAACCCTACACCCTACAACCTACACCCTAAACCCTAAACCCCTAGAAGCCCCAAAGCTCTGAAGCTTCCCAAGGCCTCTCGGGGAGAAGCCCGCGCATCTGCCTCGCCCCGGCGCCGCCGCCCAAGCCCACGAGGCCCACGCCTGGGTTTCCGACTCCCTCAGAGGATTGAGCAAGTAGGGTTTAGGGTTTAGGGTTCAGGGTTCAGGGTTTAGGGTTTAGGGTTTCGGGTTTAGGGCAAGAGTTGTTAAGCATACCAACAGATCGCGCATGATGCCAAAGGTTGGGCCATTAAAATCAGTAGCCTCCGAGCTCCTTCAATCCAATGTCCTCAAGAAGCTGATGCCATGCCCTTTTGCACACGCTCAGAGGAGCTGCAATCTACCCTAGGGGTGAAACGGTGCCTGGCAACGCTTGGCTTGGCGTTTCGTTAACTCGAGATGCCGCGGACCGCCACCAGATGACTCCGAACTGTCTTTTGCCATGGCAACTCCCATCTTCGGGGCCCACTTCTGCTACCCTACACCCTTTTGCAGCTGGGCGTTAACCCTTAACCCTTAACCCTAAGCCGTAAACCCTAAACCTCTCGTGTGGCCATGGGATTTAGGGATAACCTTCTCACCCCAAGGGTTGAAGCCTATGGCGAGCATGCCACGTGTGCTTCTTAGAGGTGCTAGCCCTTCACAAAAAAGAGTATGGTTGTTATGACTAGCAACTATAGTCACCCCCCTCCAAAAAAAGACATCAAATGTATACACACACCAGTATTTATGAAGGCAAGCCTAGTTACACTCACCAAGAACAGAAACACAAATGCTAGGTTCTTGTGATCCGTGTGGCAGCAACCTGTGCCTTGCACAAAGGACGCAAACAGCGCCTCGACATCGAGCTTGGAGGGGCCGACGATGAGGTGCTTTGCAAAGGTTTGCTTAGGTGTTTTGAGTGGTATGGGGCAGATAAGGCTAATGCCTTCCACCAGTTAATTGAGCGCAGTTTAGTGTAGCGTTCCGGGTAATTCCGAAGCACCTCCGCCCAACCGTACACACCGGGGCCCTAGACCTAATGCCAAAGCTTTGTGGCTCACAAGCTCGCTTTGCCTGAGTCAGCTAACGGCCGAGGTGATCGAGGTGTCGTCCTCTTGAGCAATGGTTTTGTGTCTAAGGAGACCGTGACTTCGAAGAACCTGGCTGGCCATTTCTTTTCTTTGTGGGACTGTAGGTCCCTGTGGGTTCTGCCCTTTCCTGTAAGCGCAAATATTAGGAAGTCAAGGGTGCTGCCTGAAATCGGACGCAGCTGGGCATTAACCCTTAGTAGCCCAGGAACCATATCAGAATAAGCGCAGCCTTCTTCGGGTTGGCTAGTTAATAAACTGTGATGCTTTGATAGAAACCATGTGTGATTTTTCAATGGGGTTTGGGAGAAACAGCGATGGGGCCATGTGGCATGCGATCCAATACAAGAATCCCCGTAAACCTATGAAATCCTCCACAGTCTTCTGGTGACTCCTAATTCCCTAAACCCGAAACCCTAAACCCTTTTGAAGCTGGACTTGCTGACTGCCAGACGCCGAGTACCCTAAACCGCAAACCTCCTAATTACCCGAAACCCTAAACACTCCTCTTTGGCGACATCGGGTTGCTCCGGGGAGTCGTTGGTCGCCTGCGGCAGAAGAAAGGCTTAACCTACACATAAAGGGGGTATAGTCCAGAAGCTTAAGCCCTGAACCCAACACCCAAAAGGCTGAACGATTACCTACTCAGCCCTAAACCCTAAACCCTAAACCCTAAACCCTAAACCCTAAACCCTAAACCCTAAACCCTAAACCCTAAGACGCTAGATTGTCGCGAGCCCGGTCTCCCCCCCGGCCTTGAGACGGCGAAGTGCGAGGGAGCCTGCAAAATGTGGGACAAGCAGCACGTCTCTCGGGAAACCTGCTTTCAGCTTCATTTCTCCCACTACGCTGTAGTTATGGTCCGGGCTGTCACGGCCTGAGCCCGACAATTGAAAACCCACTTGAAAACGAAGGACCCCCCCAACATGTCTTAACAACTGCATGCTTCACAAGCTTCAACCGCAGGCCACTACCCTAGACCCTAAACCCTAAACCCTAAACCCTAGACCCTAAACCCTAAGCCCTAAACCCTGAACCCTAAACCCTAAACCCTAAACCCTTGGGCCTTGGATGGCCTCTCCCTGTCCATCCGGTCACCTTGCGGTCTGCTGCGGTGAGCTACAGCCTAGCTGCTGAGTAGCCTGGGCCAAAAAAGGTGGACCTTTCCAGGATGTGTATATATTATATACAGCCCGAAAAGTGAAAGGTAACCTACTCAACTACTAAGATAGGCTGGCAAAAGGCTGTTGCGTGTTTGGGTTTGTTTACGGTCTTTAGCGATTGGGAAACTCCACAGAAACTGCAAGCAAGCAGGCAAGGTAGATTGGTAAGACTTGGCCCCAACCGTAGAAGACGGACCCAGCAATAGTCATATGGAGTCATATGCTAGGCACCCCCGTTTCACGGGGTGATGTATCCAAGTACCCCGTAATCAAAGGGTTCAGGTCCCTTCAGCAGAGGCTACCCAACCCTAAACCCGCAACCCAAAAACCCTGTAACCCTGTAAACCCCCCAAGGCCGAGCGGCGGATCTCGCTCAGGAGCTGCTTCGTCAGTCGAGTCTGGGCCTCGGCTTTTGCGGATGATATGGGCGGTGACGAAAATTCAAAATAAGGGACCTCAAATTTTAGACCCCCAAATAGTAGGATCCCCTGATAATACGGACCCCAATAAGGCATCCCTAATTTCCGAAACCCCCATATAATGCATCAAATCTGGGGATACCATCAGAACATCTTGCATGGGTAAGGAATACGGAGCCTGGCTCTAGCACGCAGCAGCCCCGTGGCCTCCATTTCGCTCTCCACCGGGCGCTCTGCCCGCAGGTCTGTCTGCTCACAACGTCGCACGATCCTGAGTACGAGGACTGCCAGCAAGATAGGTCAACTACAGTATACCGGATCTCAATCTCCCAGCAGCCTCCACAACACATTAGCACCAAGAGGTGGGTCGGTGAACCCAAGGATACCAAAAGGCTACCCAACGTTCGAGCCCAAGCAAGACTAAGTGGAGACAAGGTGCCAGAGAAAATGTTCCTGGCAGGGGTACAGGAGCGTGCTCTATGCAAAGTTCTTGCCGCAGTACTACATGGAAGCAGGCACGTAAGAAACCTGGTCGCTTGCGGAGGTTCCGGGAGTTGAGGGGGGGGATAACGTTCTTGCCGGCCCTAACCCTGAACTCGAACAGAACATTTAGTATGTCATGTTGTGCAAAGGGGCCAAAACGCTGTAAACATCAGTTTTTTGGGCATGGTCGCTACATGAATGGGCGTTGCCGCCCCCCGCCCCGCGCCAGAAACAAACAAAGACACAAAGAAAGAACGAATGACACGGAAAGAAAGAAAGAAACAAAGAACGACACAAAGAAACAACGACGTACAGGAACAATGTGCAGAAAGAAGGACAGAAAGAAAAACATGAAGGCTCTGACTGCCTTTTCCTGAAGAGGACGTAGTGCGTTCTTGTAGGTCACAAGTTTCAGATCTTCGCACATTCTGATGCCAGATGTCCACACAACATCGGATTTTTTTCGAGGTTGTCAGCAGTGCCCTGTGCTGCCCTTTCCTGGTTGCCAGACAGTCTGCAGAATTTCCCGACCTTCACTGCCCCAAACCCATGCGACAACAATGTGCGCAGCAGTTCGTGTCCAGGCTCTTTGTGCGCCTGCGATAGGGTTTTAGGGTTTAGGGTTTAGGGTTTACCCCTCAAGACCACACAGGTTCAGCTTTCTGCCATGCTCTGAGCGGGTTTAGGCGGTTGGAGGTTTGGGGCATTGCTAGAGTAGGGCTTTCTTATCGTTCCCACATAGCTCGCATAGGGTTTAGGCTCCAGCCTTCAGGGTGTAGGCGCTTACCTGCAACAAGCAACCCCCTAAATTGTTGGGGGGCTATGAGCCCTCAACCCACCCCCCCCCCCCCCCCCCCCCCCCCCCCCCCCCCCCCCCCCCCCCCCCCCCCCCCCCCCCCCCCCCCCCCCCCCCGCGAAGGGCTGCCTGGAGAGGGCCCTCCTTCCCACAGCGCCCGACGGCGAACCAGTCACTTCGCATCATCAGGGCCTGCATGCCAACCTCAGGGCAAGTTGGGTCGGGTTTAGGGTTTAGGGTTTAGGGTTTAGGGTTTTAGGGTTTTAGGGTTTTAGGGTTTTAGGGTTTTAGGGTTTTAGGGTTTTAGGGTTTTAGGGTTTTAGGGTTTTAGGGTTTTAGGGTTTTAGGGCTTTAGGGCTTTAGGGTTTTAGGGTTTTAGGGTTTTAGGGTTTTAGGGTTTTAGGGTTTTAGGGTTTTAGGGTTTAGGGTTTT